AGCCTCCGATGTGCGCGGAACTCGCGGGAGCAGCGCGGCTAGCCCGGCGCGCAGAGCTCCGAGACGCTGAGGTCGTCGCTAGCGCTGCGCTGGGACTCGTTCACGAACGCGGGGAACGTCACGTTGTCGAACACGCAAGTCTCGTCGGGGTCCATCAAGCAGCTGCGCAGCGACACCACGCTGTAGTTGTTCACGTTCTCGGCGATACTGCGCTCGCTGCCCTCCAAACTCAGCAACTCGTTCTTCAGCGGCACGTTGTGCGAAGCGTCGTCGCCGATGAACACGCTCAAAAAGTCGTTCTGGTCGATGTATCCGTCGCCGTTGACGTCCAGCGCGCTGAGGTCCGTGTGCTTGCCGCAAATGTCGTGCTTGGCGAGCTCGGTTTCGCAGTCTTGAACGCTAACGCGCGAGTCGAGGTCCTTGTCGAGTTTCTGGAAGACGAGCAGCGGCGTGTTGCGCGAGTGCAGCGAGGCGTCGTTGAGGCAGGCGGCGCAAAAGTCGTAGAAGTGGATCGCGCTGCCGTTGGCGAGCGTGCACAACAGCTGCCGCACGTACGCGTAAATCTGACTTACTGCGCCCTGCGCGCTGCTGTACAACTTCGCGCAGCCGCCGCGGTGCCAAGAGAACGCGTTCGGCGCGGAGCGCCGTCGGTAGTACTCTTCGATTAACTGCGCGTCGAAGCGCAGCGCGTCCGCCTGTACGTGCAGCTCGCTGCGGCCCCAACAATTGATTGCTACTGAGCACATCAACTGCTCGGGCCGGTCCTCGCACAAAACGCGCAGACTTGCGCTGTTCTCGAATTCGAAATGCACGAAGTGGTTGTACAGTGAAGCCAGCCGCTCGACTTCTGCGGCGCTGGTCAGCTGGATGCACAGCATCTCTGTCAACGCAGAGGCAACCGAGGCGAGATTCAACACGCCGGTGTTGTCGCAGTCGAACAGTCGGAAGAGGTAGACCAGGAAAGAGTACTCGGCCGTGTTGTGGATGCGCGTCATCATGTTCTTCAACAAGCCTTTTTTTTGCGAGCTGTATCTCGCATAGCGCGCGAACTGCTTGACGAGCCGCTGTGCGAGCACACTCAGGGAATCGTGGTCCGTCAGGTTCAGTTTCTCGAGCAAGGACGCGCACGAGTGCCAGCCCTGGTGCCACGGCGAAAGCAGGAAGTCGTGGAACGAGTTTGAGAAACGGTAGTGAGCGCTCGGCGGCGGGTCGCCGTGCTCGAAACTCGCGGGGAAGTGTGCGCAATTCACGCTGTGCTGCAGGCCCAACTCGTACAAATCGCAGCAATAGTTGATCCCATTGAGTTTCGCCTTTTTGAAGGTGGGGTGTGCGACGCAACGCTTCGTTTCGAGGTCGCGAAGCGCCACAATCGACGTCATCAGCCGGCAGGGCGCGGGACAGCACGCGAGCATCCACGGGTGACGCAGCGCCTCGGCAGTAGACAGGCGTGCGTCTACGTTGACATGACACAAGCGCCGGATCAGGTCGATCACGCCTTCGCTGAGTGAGAAAGGCGTCGGAAAGTTCAGCGCTTGCGTCTTTTCGTGCAGCAACTGGTTGATTGAGTCGTTGCGCGTTTCATTGAAAGGGTAGCGGCCGAGGAGCATCGTGTAAAGGATGACGCCCAACGACCAGCTGTCGATTTTTTCGTTGTATTGCCGCTTCAGCACCTCGGGTGCCATGTAAGATAGCGAGCCGACTATGCTTTGCGTGCTGCTCAGATACATGGCTTCCTGCGCTTTCGAAGCTTTGCTGGAGGAGAGATTGATGCAGGCGGGAGAGGATGCGGAAAGCGACGCACACTGCGGCATCCGCGCGATGATGCTGAAGCCGAAGTCGATGAGCTTGAGCTCTTGTCGGCAGTCGTTGTTCTTGAACACGAAGTTTTCAAGCTTCAGGTCGCGGTGCACGATGCTGTTCAAGTGGCAGTAGTGCGCGGCGCTAATAGCCTGGCGGATGAAGTGCGCGGCAACCTGTTCGTCGAAGCTGCCTTCCTGCGAGAGCAGTGAGCGCAAGTCACCCCCCGCCAAGTACTCCATGACTACGTAGAAGTTCGAAGAGTCCTCGTACACATCGAATACCTTGACGATGTACGGGTGGTTCAGCCGCAGCAGCGAGTGGTAGTCTTTGCGGAACCGCGAAATGTACTTCGAGTCGGTCTTGCGAATCTGCTTAATCGCGACGGGCTCGTTCGAACTTTTCTCCCTGCCAAAGTACACGACGCCGTGCACGCCTTGGCCGAGCCGCTGCTTGAAGGAGTAGTAGTTCTTGATGTTGCGCAGCGGCAGCGCCGCGGCTGAGCGCGGAGCTCCGCAGCTAATCATCACACCGACTGGCTGAGCCTTGACAGGGTAAATCAGAAGTAGTCGACGACATCAGCGAAAGTACTGCCGACCGGCGCGGGTTACGTGAAGAAGAAGCGATAATAATTCCGAAAAAACCAGAGCTTTTCGTCAAAACTGTAAATTGTTATATTATTGCTGCGGGGAAAGGGATCGAAATGCTGTTGCGCATTTTTCTCTGCGGAGCGGCGGCCGCATCCCAATCTTTGGCGCTGAAGTGGAGCATCGGCAAAGAGCCTTCCGCTCTATACTTTGAGCACGAGTTTCAGTACGGCCCGAACGCGAGGCTGGCACAGCAGATCGAGGGCGAGCGCGAGCCGCTTTGTCAGCACTTTGTGAAGTCGCGCAAACCGGTGGCGCTCAAGCTTTACAGTGAGAAGAATCAGGTGGCTAAGTGTGTGATCCGGCCGACTGCGTTTAAGTCGGCGAAACAGCTGTGCGACTCGCTGCACAGTCTGACCATTCATGCAGACGAATTCTCCTTCGCTATCGAGTGTCCTCGTCCTGCAGCATTCGCGCTGCCAGGCGTCGTGGCGCAGATGCGACAGGTGCCAGTCTACCTCATGCCGCAAGTGTAAGTTGGTCTGAGACGCAGGTAGCGATTTTGACGCACTGGCGCAAGAGGAGGCGGCTAAGCGTTTAGCGGCGCCGCCTATACAGAACAAGTGGAACGCTATGTTGCTGCGCTACGCGCTCTATGTGTTCGTTGGCGTTTTTCTTGGACGCTTGCTGTCCAAAAAAAAAAGGCAATAGTTCACACGTAATATTTTGCCTGCAAAAATGGCCTTTAACATTGCTCTGCAGCAAAGCGGAGACAAATCGCTGCAATATCACCCGCACTTTTCACCGTATGAGTCGATCGTTGAGTATCTTGATGTGGTTGATCTGCAGTTGCGCTGCGAAGGCCAGAAATGCGTGATGCGTGGCTCTTGCTACCTGACGAAGTTCAGGCTGATTTTTCTACGCAGTAGCTTGCTAGACGGCGGCAGCATCGACAGCTTTGCCATGAATCACAGCACTGTAATGCAAAATGGACTACCCAAGTTCAGGATGCATCTGTTCCGAACGCAGTCGCTGCGGCTGAACTACTCCGTAAACGGTATGCCGCTTCAAGTGGAGTTAACGTTGCGATCCCTGAGCGCGAGTTTTCTCAAAGTGTACTATCACATGTTGTCCGTGGCGCATGACCAGCTCTTGCAGTCGGAAGTGGTGCGATCGGACACGGGGCAGAAAATCTACTTTAGCAGCACGAATCCGTACATCGGGTACTTCCCGCTGGACGTGATAGAGAACTGCTTTCTGCGCGCAGGCGCAGTCTAGGTGCGGTGCCGCAACACCGTTAGCGAGACGTCGCTCCTTCACAGGATGCTACGTCGCCTGTCACGAGCCGCGACTCGCTATAGGTGTAGCAAACGGGGCGCGGCGCGCTGCTGGCTGCTGCGACCAGTTGTTGCCGGAACACCGCGCCATCAGTGATGGAAGTGCGATTGGGGTTGTACAACTCTGAGCAGCCGATCGCGGTCTCGCACTGAAACAGATCACGAAGCAAATGTTTAGGTTTCACAGCAAGCCTCCGCAACTCTGCGAGCGTCTGCAGTGTCGTTTTGTTGAAGTCGGATTTCCCGTGCAGCGTGTTGCTGTCGTTGGCGAGTGTAATTTTCAGAGACGGTAGCGAGAAGCGCAAGTAGACCGCAGCGAGCTCGCTGCACAGCGCGTTGAAATTTCCGAAGCCAGAGATCGTGACTAGCTCGACACCAGCGAGTTGCTCTTCAAAAAGAATGTCGAGTAGCGTGAACACTCGCTCCATGTGTTGCGTCACGCCGGCGTGAAAATCGCCAAAAACGCCAAAGCGGGATTTCAGCGCAGACGTAGAATTGTGCAGCTCAAAGCGAGCCTTGTAGTTCGAGTCGTGGTTGTTGAGTACAATGTAAGCCGAGCGGCCGTCCGAATAAATCGCGGCAAATATCATTGGGATGCGGCGTGATTGTTGAGGTTCGATGTATGCGATCGTGCCGACCAGCTTGAAGTTCAACACGGCTGGCTCACGCAGCGAGCGCTCGCTTTGCAGCAGTTTGTTGAATTGCTCGGATTGCTGAGGAATTGATGACTCGCTGTTTTCAGCCAAAAAGTTCAACAGTAGTTTAGTGCGCAAGTAACTGTATGTCTCAGTGACCTTGTGCAGCTCGTAAACAAGATCGGCTTCGGAGAGTGGTGGTTTCACTAGCTGTTGCAGATTGTCAAGGTATAAGCGGAATGGCATTTCGTTGTTGCTGAGAAAGTCGCGCAAAAAGTCGTCCATGCAACCAACTACCGCCTGAAATTCTTTGTAGGCATTACAGTAGGTGTCAACGTCTATCTGTTCAACGACGGCACAAAACGCGGTCTGCAAAGCGCGCTGTGCGACGAATGACTGCTGCGTGCGGTCTTCCGGCAAAATGCCGCCGTTTTCGTACAGCTCGTCTACGGCGGCTTGCAACATGTCTGCGATCACCGCGCCGATTTTCGGCGCGTTGCTCGCGTTTGTGAGCCGCTTCTGCAGAAGCGACATAACGTGTTTGGCTAGCGGAGCTGACGCGAGCTGCGCGGTGGACCAGTTCGGATGCGCTTCAATCGCCGCTGCTGGATGAGGCTGCGCGCAGAGCTTGTTTGTTTCGTATTCGCCGGCCACGTAGTACTCCAACAAAGGATAGTATACTAACTCGTTTGTAATTCGGAGTGCTGTCGCGACAGCGAGCAGTGGCGCGAATTGCATGGATGCGCTCAACTACGTTTCTGCGAAAAATGCCGTGCTGCAATCAATTTAGGAAAACCGCTAAATCAATTCATCAAGCAAGTTCATAGAACTGCTGGGCGCTGGCGGCAGCGGCGGGACCGCCTGAGTCGGCTGCTGATAGTTAAGCAGATCGGCAAGCAAGCTCAAGTCGTGCACAAGTCCGCTGTCGAGCGACACGTTCGGCGTTTCACTCAGTCGCGAGCTGAGCATGTTCTGTTTGCGTACAATCAGCGCCCGCAGCTTTTCGAAGAGCTGTAACGCTTGATCCTTGGCGGCGACGGTTCGCGCATTCTTCAGCAAATTAAGGAGCGCTTCGAGCTGCACGCGTTCTTCTGCCGTTAAGCCTTCGTCCGCCACGGCAGGCTGAGTCTTTGACGCGTCAGAATCGCGCTTGCTGCAGAAGTCGCGGCTGTTGATAAACTCGGAACTGACCTGCTGCGCGGCGTCGCCGGGCAGGCTGGGCAAGTTGTCGAACTTAATATTCTTCTCGAGCAAAGACTTGTAATACTGTGTGATGACGGCGATAGCTGGGCCGGACGATCCGTACGTATCTACCCAGTGTTTGATAAGCCCTTTAGCTTCGTTTCGCACGTTGTGTACCTCGACGCTCGTCGAGATTGAAGTGTTCCCGCCGTTGCCGGTGATGTACTTGCCGAGCTTGTTGAGCTGACCCGTAAAGGTGCGCTCCTTGAATGAAGATGTGCGAATAATCGCGCCGATGCTCTTCATCATGTCTTTGTTTACAATGCGGAGAACTGCGAGCCCGCAGTGGTCTGAGATGAAGCGCAGCAGTTGCAGCGCGAGCGAAACTCTGTAGAATTTGCTGGAGTGCAGGCGCTGTTGGATGACGAACAAAACTGCGGGCACGATGCGGAACGGCGACGCGTCGATTTCCTCAACGACATACATCGCCGTGTGTATGTCCAGCTGACGCGCCGGTCCGGCAGTTAAGTTTTCGATGACGCGGCGGAGCCGTTCCTGCTCGATTGGCGGCGGCGGGTAGGCCATGTGTAGCAAAAACTGGAACGTGCTCGTTGGGTTGATCGCACTGCCGCTCGAACTGGCACAGCCTCTGTTCGTATAGAACTCAGTGTTCGACTGAGCAAGTCGAGTGTGCGTGTGGTCGTCGTCGTGCAGCGTCGTCCCACCGAAGCCGGTTTGCTGACTGTTCGCCGTCGCCAAGCTTCTGCGCTGCATCTCCGACACGTCGCCGAAGCCAGGAGGTCGATGAGCGGGCTGCATGGAGCTTCTATGCGCGCATGGCTCTGCTGGCTAGACGTTCAAATGCTTGCGGTTGGGAAGCGATCAGGCAATTCGAAAATTACGCAATTAATAAGTTTCGGCAGGCTTTATTACGGTTATTGCAGAGCGTTGGGTGTTTTGACAAAGCAATAATCGCTGAATACTATACTTGCATTTCACGTTGCACGCAGCATCGATTCTGCACAACTTTTTTTAGATCGACGACATGCTACCGAGTACGTAGCAACGCAGAGGTACGCTTCTTCACACGTTTCGGGTCATCCGGTAGCAGGCTTTGCGAAGCATTAGGAAATTCGGTTCTTGTGGCTCAAGCGACACGCGAAAATCAATTCGAAAGCTCAATTACTGCATGCCTGAATAAAACGAATAGAGAGATGAAAGGACTGAAATACGCCTTTTTCCTCGCCGGCTTGACGGACGCAGGCGTTTACAAGAAAGTCACTGACGTGATGAGCAACAAAGTCATCCGAGACTCTGGATTGAACGAATTGGCAAAGGTGACTGAATCTCGCGTCAACGAAATTGGACTCGGCGGGAAGAACTTTCCAAATGAAGACGACTTCGGCTTCTTAGGAACCGCGGGCGCTGGCACGCGGCAAATTATTTACTGTTTCGCTGAAGACAGCTTGGTGACTCGTAAGGACGGCAGCACTGTTGCGATGCGCGCGTTGAGCGAGCAAGACCGTCTGCTCTCGCCGTTCGTGCGCGACGCGCGCAACGCCATGCGGCTCTGGCTGCACATCGAGCAGTCGGTGCAAGCGACGTTCCAGCGCCTCAGCACGGAGTCGGGCGCGTCGCTTCTGCTCTCGCCAGGGCATTTGGTCTATGTGTCGCGGTGCTACGAATCTGGCTGCGGGCCCCGCGAGCTGCGACAAGCGGCGGAAGTGCGCGCGGGGGAGCACTGGATGTACAACGTCGCGCTTAGTGCATGGGATAAGGTGAGTCAAAACGAGCCCAAAGCGTATAAGGGCGCTGTGTTCGCGCCGCTGACGGATTCGGGAGATTTGGCGGTCAACAGCTTGGCCGTGAGTTCGTTCGCGGCCGTGGACAAGCTGTCCCACGAGACTCTGTATTTGGGCGGACGTGTGTTGATCGCAATGAATGCGACGCTGCGCAAAGCGGGGTGGCTGTTCAGCGCGCTTTCGAAGTTGACCGGCGCAGAGATTGGTGCGACGTCGTGGAACCCGTACGCGTACCTTTTGTACAAACTTGTATTAATAAACGAGGGGCCTAAGCGGCTGCTGTAAGTGTTCGTGCTCGCGGCTGGAGCTGCCACGCACCGCTAGCGGCGATGCTGCGGACTGTCGCGATTTTAATTTTCGTAATTACTACTAGCTGCGACATCGACTTCACGCATAAGAGCTGGATGACAGAGAACGTATCGCACGTGCTGCATCACGCCTTCGCGTTAAGCGGTCACATTTCGCGAAACGCGGTGCTGCAGCTGCAAATTGACCGCCAGATTAAGCAGTTACGGCAGCGCATGGACGCTCTGGAGCAGAGCGACGCGAAGCACTGCCTAGATCCGGCGTACATTGCGCTGTACCACAAGCACCAAGCGCTCTGCCAAGAAAAAGTGGAAATTGGCCTGCAGTCGCTTTCCTTTCTGCAGCATTGCTCGGACGAGCTGGTTGAACTGCACAAGAACAACAAAAAGCAGGGCTTGCTGTAGTGTAGCGCCCGTGCGGCTCAGATTTTAGCGCTGCGGTTTATTAATATTCTTAAACGCCGTGCTACGTTCGCAGCGCTGCTCTCGGGGTGACGCACTGCCATGGATCACTCGCAGAGCAGATATACAGCAGTTAATGAATCTTACTACGGAAAGCTGTACAGCGCGGCGAAGATTAAAAACTGCTTCGCCGACTTTTTCGCAAACGCGGTTTACTCGCGCAGCGACGCGAAGAACCGCGCTACTTATAAACAGCTCGCACTGCAGCTCGCGCGCGGCGACTGTCAAACACTAAGCATCCTGTGCGATGACATTCTCGACTATTTCGGCTACCAGCCAGATGGCTCATTCGTGGACAGAGAGCACGAGCGCTTTGAGAGCGCCGTCGATATTTTGTTCTACAACACGAAGCGCGCGCTCTCGGTGATGTACAGCATCGTCGAAGAGCTGCACACAGAGAGCGTCGGCGAGCGCGAGCCCACGGACGCGTCTGCGACGGAGCTGGACCTTTTGCGGCTATTGCGCGAGGCGAAGGCGGAACTGCGTTACAACGAGAAGCTGCCGGCCGAGTCAAAGGCGCCGTACCAGCTTCTGTTGGTAGCGCCGAGTAGCATGGCGCCGACGCCGATCTTCCAGATTCGCGCGGAGAACATCGGCCATTTGCTGAGAGTGGGCGGCGTCGTGTCGAAGATAACTGCAATCCGTCCGCGCATTAAGGTGGCTTGCTACTACTGTGAGCTCTGCAACGCAAACTTCTACGAGCCGGTGACGTTCCAAACGTTCACGCCGCGCAAGTTGTGCGACTCGGAGCTGTGCGTGCGCAGCCGCCGACAAGGCAGTTTGGTGTTGTGTTTGCGCGGCAGCAAGTTCGTGAAGTCGCAATTGGTCACGTTGCAGGAACACATGCACTTGGTGCCTTCGGGCTCGCTGCCGCGGCAGCTGAAGGTTGAGCTGACCGCTGAGTTGGCCGCGCAGCTGTCGCCCGGCGTGGAGGCCGAGTTGAGTGGCGTGTATGTGCTGGAGTCGCGCTCAGGGGGCAGCCAGCGGCGCGGTTTCAAAACCGTGTCGGGCTACTTGCTCGCCCTCGACGCGAGGTCGTCGTCGAACAGCAGGACCAGCCACTGCCCTGCCGAGTTCACACAGAGTCTGAAGAAGCTCGTCGCGGAAAGCAGCGGCGTTGAGCTGTACAACCGCCTAGCGCTGAGCCTGGCACCTTCGATCTTTGGGCACCTGGACATCAAAAAGATTTTGCTGCTGCAGTTGGTGGGCGGCGTTAACTTTATGACCGATTCTGCGTTCAAGGTTCGTGGCGACATTCATGTGCTGCTGCTCGGCGACCCGGGCATTGCGAAGTCGCAGCTGCTCAAGCGCGTTGCGGCGCTGTGCCCGCGCAGCAGCTACACGTGCGGAAAAGGCGCGTCGGGCGTAGGGCTGACCGCGGCGGTCGTGCGCGACACTATGACGGGCGAGCTGGTGCTGGAGGGCGGCGCGATTGTGCTCGCTGACCGCGGCGTGTGCTGCATCGACGAGTTCGATAAAATGGACGAGACTGACCGCAGCGCCATTCATGAAGTAATGGAGCAGCAGACTGTCAGCATCAGCAAGGCAGGCCTTGTCGCGACGTTAAACGCGCGCACGCGACTGCTGGCTGCCGCGAACCCGGTTACTGGCAGCTACGACATTACGCGCAGCGCCATTTACAACATCGGGCTCCCAGCAGCGCTCTTGAGTCGCTTCGACGTCGTCGTAATCGCGCTCGACAACTTTGCATCGAAGGAGTACGACTTCGTAATGGCGCACCACGTGCTGAACATTCACCGAGGCACGCCAAACGAGTACATCGAAGTGCAACAAAAGTTCTTCAAGACGTTCAGCGACGATGAAATGCGCGGACTGATTGAGCTCGCACAAGAGCTGAACCCGACGCTTACTGACGCGATCGTCGAGCAGATTGCGGAGTACTACGTTCGCAGCCGCACCGAGGAAAAGACGCTCGGTTACAACTACGACGAAATCACGTTCGTCACGCCGCGCTACCTGCTCGCAATAATTCGCCTTTCGCAAGCGCTCGCGCGCTTGCGCTTCGCGCACGCTGTGGAGGAGTGCGACTTTCATGAAGCGGTGCGCTTGATGAAAGCGAGCAAGGAGTCGGTTGCCGTGCGGAAAAAGACTTTTGCGCCCGAACCCAGCGTCCAGTACGCCGAAGCCAAGCGCATTTTGTACGGTTTGGCAGAAACCGCCGCCGACGCAGACAACTGGATCAGTTTCGACGCGGCGCTCGAAGCCACTTTTAACGTAATCGACGAAGACATTGAAACGGTTATCGAACACCTCGTTTCTCACGGCGAAGCTGTCTGGGACTCAATTGCGAAGAAGGCATTTCGGCTGCTGTAGTTGGAGCGGCACGACCGAACGCGGTTCCGTTCACGGCGGACGCGACGAGCGCACCTCTTTGCGAACTATGCAAATTATAACTATTCTTATCAGCGCGCAGAGCGCGCGCGGTGCCGTGCGCAACTACGACTGCGGGGGCGCAACGACGTCGTTTTCATTGCTAGCGGCTGCTGCTCCCGCGGGAGCAGCGCTGTGCTGCTCGTTCGCCATACACGCGGCGGACGGCTCGCCAGGGTTGTTGCTCGCGTTCTGCAACCCGCTCAACTGCGTGCCTTGTTTGCCGGAAGCAGCAGCGGAGTTGTTGCTGTGCTGCTGCGCGAAGGCCTGACCAGCTGCGCTGAATCCTTCAGCGGCTGCGTGGTCCTGCGGCGTTCGTGCAGGGAGTTGCGCTGCGCTTCCGACGGAGGGCGCGTTATGCGCCGCAGACTGCTCAGCGTAACCTGCGGCGCCGGCGCTTAGTTGGTGCGAATGAAGTGCCGCGGGCCGCGCCGCTTGCGCGTGAGACATTTGGCTCATCATGTAGTTCATCTGAGACATTTGGTGCTGCGTCTGCAGCGCCATGCGATACTCGAGCTCGGGCGACATCGCGCGCATGTCCTGCGGCATACGCGCGAGAAGCGCGTTCCAACCGTTGTTGTAGCGGTACATCTGCTGCGCGCCACTGTGCATCATCGGAGCAGCAGCAGCGTATGGTGGGTTCGTCAGCATCGACTGCTGCATCCGCAGATGCTCTCGGTAACTCATGCCCGGCACCTGCGCTGCGCCTTTCTCACCCGACTGCGCGGGGTCGCTGCCGTACTGCTGCTCCATAGGGTTTTCCGGGAAGTCGGCAGACGGCGAGCCTTTCGGCACGTTGCTGCTCCCATCGTGCCCCGACTGCTTCGACTGCGCTGCAGCTGTAAACGATGCGCCAGCAGCAGAATTTGGCGCGCTGTTCGGCGGTGGGTGCGGCATCATGTTCTTGTAGTGGCTAGCTAGAAACGCAGCTTGCGCATTCATCGACCAGGGCGGAACTGGCACGCCCTGCGCGGCCATGTACGGGTAGCGAAGTTTAGCAGCGTTCGGGTTTGCGGTCGCAACGGGATTCAAGCCAGCTGAGGAAAAACTCTGCGACTTCAACGCCGCCTCGTACGCCGCTGCGTGCGCCTTCGGGTTTTTTGGCAACGACTTAGACATCAAGTTTGCGTATGCCGCCGCGTTCCGAGACCCGCATTCGTAGTTCGGAGCAGAGTGATGCTTCACGTTCTGAAAGCCGGCGGCGTAGTTCACCGGCAGCGGAGAGTTGACGTTGCCGACGTAGCGACCGGACTGCATGTACGGCGGAGGAGGCTGCACGAAGCTGGGCCACCTGCCGCGGGCAGAAGAAACCGAGTCGTAACTGCGCGCGCCTTCGAAGTTCGCTCCTGTTTTGATGCGCTTGTTGTTCAGCGAGTGGTAGTCTTCCGAACTGTTTGAGAGATACGTCATGTGTTCGCTCGGCGGCTTGACGCTCAAATTTTCGCTGCTATGCTTGAAGCTGTTGGCGGACTGGATGTAGCCTGCAACGTCGCTGTCGAGTTTCAGCGCTTCGGGCGAGGTGGCGAAGGGATACGTCGCTTCGAATTTCTTCCACGCGTTGGACTCATGCGTGCGCGTCGGGTCGGCAAACGCGGGGTTCATCTGCGCGCCGCGCGCTTGGCGTAACCCGCAGCCATCCTGAGCGTTGTA